ACAACTACCAAGTATGGCTCTAACCTTTTCAGTCAATTACTTTCTTAGAACTGGAGATTGTGACCATTAACCAACTGGAACTGACTTGACAACTCATGTTTGCCCTGGTGTCAATCAAGCCACACATCAATGATTTTATGTGAAAAGGACCAAAAGACAAGTCACAACTTCCCAGCAAGGCACACGAGACAGTCTCTTCCCTTTGTGGCTCCAACCTCCCTCGGCCATCCCCCACCACTTCTGCCCTGCTGAGCCTCCAACCATTCTCTCCCAAGCCTTCAGGCCTGAGCACAGCTGTTCTATCCCTTCTGCATGGAGAGCCTTCCTCTTCACGTCCCTGCCTGGGGAATTCCCACTCATCCTTCCAGAGTCAGCTCAAATGGTGCCTCCTCCTGAAAGCCTTCTTTGACTTCCCAGACAGAGTTGAGCCCTCCTAGCCCTATGCACACACTAGCATTCCTTGGGTCGTGATACTGTCTCATTAGCTGTATCTCTCCCCCAGGCTAGTCCCTGAGAAGCTGCAAACTGCGCGTCTTCAACTACAAACTGAGATGCTTCCGTCTTTGAAAGCTGGCCACCATTTATTTTCTCTGATGTCCCCCTGCCTAGCAGGCTGCTCAGAAACTGTTTGCTAAATGTGGGTTTTTTTCCCTAAGAAAAAAAAAAGGTTAGACACGATACTATTTATTCCTTAGGAAACATGTTATTTAACTCAACTCTGTGGATGCCGACAAAATATAAAGTGTCGGTATGCATTAGCATGTATTTAAAACTGATGTCATGATGCGTCTTGACTTTTTCAGCTGTGGTGGAAACATTTACTTAATGATAAAAGAAACAAGACTTCAGCAGAAAACAACTGGATGAGAACTGCTTGGCTGCCCAAAAGAACTACCAAGTTACTGGCCTCTTTTATCATCTTTTAAAAAATATATATATATTTTTATTGATATCAGAGAGGAAGGGAGAGGGAGAGATAGAAACATCAATGATGAGAACCACTGATTGGCTGCCTCCTGCACACCCCACACTGGGGATCAAGCCCGCAACCTGGGCATGTGTCCTGACGGGGAATTGAACCGTGACCTCCTGGTTCACAGGTCGATGCTCAACCACTGAGCCACGCCAGCCGTGCTATCATCATTTTTTAACACAGACAACCTGAAGGGATAATATTTCCACCTACTAAAGGTTTGTTCTCTCTTCCCAAGAGCTCAGGTCCTCACTGTCTCTCCCCTGGACTATACTGCAATTGTCTTCTAACTCTGATCCCAACTTCCCCAGATTGTGGCAGCTGTTTATATAGCCTGGGATGCTCCCCAACCATGGCTCTGGCTAAATCCATCCCATTCCTGGCTCAACAGTCTTCAAGGACTCCCCTGGGGTAGAGGTGGGTACAAACTCAGGCCCCCACCTCTCTCATGTTGTCATCTTTCATTCCCCAAGTGAGGCCCACTGCAAAAAAGCTCTGGTTTCCAAGAAGCTCCTCCCTGAGGTTTTACATGTACACACACATATATAACCACACACATCCAGAGGGACACACTTTCACATTCACGTGTACACACACAGCACTGACACACTAGTGCTCCTGCAGGCTGCAGTCACCCCTTTCTTTGCAATGAAATTCCCCTTCCACCTCTAGGTTCAGCTCAAAGTTGCCTCCTAGGTGAAGACCTTGTTAAATTTCCCAAGACAAAAACACTGGGAGACAAATGATGGAGAGACAGTGTGTCAGTCTCCTCCAGCGGCTTAGGCCAGAGATTACTGACAAGTCTTCTGCAGCCTTTCTTCCCTCCCCTCCTAACTCACCCTGGTACCAAGAGATCTCTGAGCACATTCGAAGTGCTGGGTAAAAGCTGGTTACATTGAAAACACAGTCCTTCTTCCACATGATTCTAAAAGGGAAAATGCCCATGATGCTAGTGGTGGTGGTGACCAGGTGTGTGTGTGCCCCAGGACTCACGTGGGAGAATAGGAGGATGCCTAAGTGTGGGACAGAGGGAGGCACAGATACTGGGGGGGGGGGGGGGGGGGGGGGGGGGAGGAGAATGAACTATAGTGGCGTGCCACTAGAAGCATTGAAGGGAGGATCTGTGGACTGGCAGCTTGTACCCCATGCCATACACAGTAACTCTCAACTCAGGTCTAATGTTAAAAACAAACACCAGGCCTGGCAGACAGGGGGGCATTCAACAACCCTATAGGTTCTTGTCCAACTGATAAAAGGAAACTGGGCCTGAGATTAAGCAGGGTGCTAGAAGTAGGTGTTCCTGGAACCATGGATGAGGGGCAGATGGAAGGCTCTGGGGTGTTCAGGGCTGGATCTACAGCATGCCTGGCCTCCAAAAGCTGTCTGGCTAAAAATAATGTGAAAACCAGGCTGCCTCCTGGCTGCCTGACCAGGCTGGATGCTGGCCCCAGATTAGGAGGCAGCCCCACACAGAGGGCATCCGGTGTCTCTACATCCCCAAAACAGCTCCGACCAGAAGACCCTGAGGGAGGGTTAAGGAGAGGCCACTGTTGCATTAGTGTTCTCAAAGTGGGCCGAGGATCAGCAGCAAAAGATCACCTGGGAACTTGTCAGAAATGCACATCCTCAGGCCCCAACACCAGGCTTGGTGCACCAGTCACTGTGGGAGGTGGATCCAAGCAATTTGTGTTTTGACCAGCCCTCCAGGTGATGATTTGAGAACCACTGTCTAGTGTGACCCTCCCTGGCTGTTCCCCTCCTCCTCACTAGAAGAAACATCTGGTAGCCTCAGTTCCTCAGCATATGGAATGGGAACAACTTCTCAAAAGACCAAAGGGCTCGAAGTCACAACCCAATAGGTGAAATGCAGCCCAGAGATCTTTTCCAAAAAAATTATATCTGCTCACATCACTTAGCAGCTAAATCCATTCCTTGGCCCTCACTGTGCTTAACCTCCCTGACCCCAGCACTGCCATCCCACTGGGGCCCTGCCAAACTCTCACCTCTCAATTCCAGCTACAGGAACTTTACCTGCAGCTCCCTGAACCACCAGGCTTTCCTCTGCAGCCAAGGTCAACACCCCTCCCCCATGATAAAGGCCCTCCCTGACCACCCCTCCCCTTCAGCCCCAGGTAACACAAAGCCCCATCACAACAGTCATCATGTACACTTCAGCCTGGGACACAGCATTCAACTAGAGGGGCCGCTTCAGCACTGAGCAACAGAGGGCACAAGAAGACCCATGGGAAATAATTGATGGCAGAATGAAGCCAAGTCTTAAACACACTTGACATTCCAGCTATAAAGCATTATTCCTCAGTATTTGACATAGTCTTAATTGTAAGTAGGAAAAAATGTTTACTAAAGTTTGAAAGCCATAAAGGAAGACTTTAGTGAGTAGGCAGAATGACAAGCAGCGGGAGAGAAAGGAGATTTGCCTACCTGGCAGGTGGCCATGGAGTAACAAGGCGGATTCAGGGAGTCCAGCACCTTTGGCTGTGACTCTCCTGATAGCTAGGCTGGGCCTTCCTGGCACCTTCCATACCCAGGAATTTTAGGTTCTCCCAGCTCAGCATCTAGATAAGCCTGGACCATGCATAAGGTGGTAGGGAGCCTCTTTGCTGTTCCCCTTACAGTTCAACTACAAGCCCACGATCCCAAAGACTCACAGAGAGATTTCGCCTTCCCTAAAGCAACATCTGGGTGGCCACCTGGCTACTAGCTTCTTGTCATCTAGTTGAGACACCTGGGTGCTTAGGAAGCCCAAAGTCCATGCTTCTGAGGTGTGGTCCCAAACTGACCCCAGGGAGAGGTGGGGTCCACCACAGACTGCCCATGCTGTCTTCAGCAGACCAATTGGGAAAGGGATGCTCTGGGGACCTGGGACCTCAGAGAGAGAAAGCCAGGCAGAAAAATTAAAGGTGGGCAACCCCTGACTCCTCCCCACAGGAAAACAAAAAAGATCCATTTCCAAGCACCAGCTGGCAGGTAGGAGCCTGTCTCCCACCTGGCTGGACATCCAGTCCTAAAAGGAACTCACACTCGTTATCAGCCTCTCCCTACCCTGCCTGGGCAAAAGTTTACAAGAGGGACAGCCGCCTGACAGCCGCAGCAGGACACTGGGCCTCAGATGTCATCAAAACACTGCGCTCCACCAGAAGATGGAACAAGTATTATTTTATGGGGAAAGGGAGGCTCACAAAAGTGTGAAGGGGAGGAGAGGGCCCAGTCTGGCTGTAATTAACTGGCCTGCTTCAAAGGGGGACTCAAGATGGCCTGATACGTAAGGCCGAGGGTTGTCACAGAGTTGCCCCCCTTACCCCTGGGACAGTGTGGGGTAGAAGTAGGGTCAGGACGGAAGGTGAGGATTGGAGGGGTGGGTCTCCTATCAGCGGAGACGAAGGGCGGACCCCCTCCCGGAAAAGCTGGCTCCAGCACAAAAGATAGCCCGCATTTGGCTCCGGGGGTGGGGCAGCGCTGGGCGTTCAGTGGGATTTACATATGCACTTTTAGAGACAGCCGGTCCGGATCTACCGCCAGGAATGCAGCGTAAGACGGGGCGAGTCCCTCCCCAGCTCTGGACCGGCTTCCCATCAATAGGCTGGGGGAGTAGGGGAAGAGTAAAGATAGACAAGAGGAAACGCTCTTTTAAGTCCGGGACAGCTCTGAGTCTGACTTTACTCCTCCTCGGGGGCGGGAAGGGCTGGCTGGGTGTCTCTTTCTTGGGCAAGGCCGGGCGGGGCTTTCTCGTCAGGCAACTTCCGAAGCGGGCACCTGGCTGTGGGCTCAGAGAGGGGACGTTCTGGGGGCAGCAGAGAAAGAGGGTATTTTTCAGGAGGCCGACGATGGGGGGGTGGGGGGGCGGGCGGGGGAAGTGCGCCGAGGGGGGCAGAATCAGGAAGGAACGTGGGAGCCCTGACCCCAGGGTCCTAGCAAGAAGCTGTTGATGTAGGGACTGGAAACCGAGGCAGTGCCTCAGTTTCCCCACGGGCACAGTGGCCCTGGAAGGGGCCCAGGGGCGCCTTACCTTCTCCTTCTTGCCGGACCCGCTCTCCTCCGCGGCCGAGGCAGCACACTTGTTGAGCAGTTTCTTGCCTCCGCAGGCTGTGGGGCTCCAAGTGCGGCCGCCCGAGCAGGCGCCCCCCGGGGGGTCCCCGGCACTGCCCACGGCGCTCTCCACCTTGATGAGGCGATGCTTGGGGGAGATGTAGCGCACCTCGGCCGGCGTGGCCGGGCGCCGCTCGCTGCTGCTGCGGTAGAGGTGCGGGGAGCCGGAGGACGAGGACGAGGACGCGGCGGCGCCCGCACCGGAGGAGGCACAGCAGCAGCCCGCGGCGCCCGACGCGGACGAGGCGGAGAAAGCGCGCTGGCCCCCGCCCGGCTCCCCGCTGCCGCCGCAGTAGTCCAGGGCGGCACATCGCGCGCAGTTTGCGCAGCGACGAGCCGGGGCCGTTGTAGGGGTCCTCGAAGTCGCGCTCCTTCTGTGCGCGGTAGGCGCGGATGAGGTCGCTCGTGCTGCCGCTGTCGTCGGGCAGCGAATTCCCGACAAGGCCGAGAAC